AGGATAAGAAAAGGCTCAAGAATGAGTCTGTCCTTAACGACAGAGAGGACATACATTGTAAGGATGAGGTGGATGAACACATGAAAGACCTAGCTGAGCATTCTCAGTGCAACAATTGCCACGACGGGTGGCATTGAGCATGCCCACCATACACCCCCGACAAATGGCATGTCGATTGCAGGCCAAAATGAAAGAAGAACGATCACCACAAAAGAGCATGCATTCAGTATAGCGCCCATGGCCACAAAATGGACATATAGTGTCCTAATGCGGAGGGTGCCTGCAGTCAGGAACGGTTGGACAGTCCTCTGCACACATGGATGCAGAAACCATGTTATTGTAGTGATTGTGACAGAGACGATGGCGGCTACAGCCGAGTGTAACAATGTTTGTGGCTGTGCAAAGGAGAAGGTCGCCGAGTGTTGGTACATTGTCCTGCTGCAGCACAGGGCCAAAGGAATGATCTTCGACATAAAAGAGATTGCGGACGGTTTGTTGTGGCAAGAAAACAGCATCATTTTGTAAGAAATCAGTGACATCAATCATGACATGGACCATGGTGCCGTTGTCCCACAACTCCCAATGGTCAGAGGCATGTACAATGGTCATGTAATGGCCAGGACCTTGCACAATGCAGGCATAGATGTGGGATGGAGGATTAAACCACTCACCTGCTCGAGCATTGCGTAGTTCAAGTTGACGGTCCCTCATTGCTACTTGTAGGACAACAATGGTAAAGCCTCCTTCGCTGGTATAATTACAATCCTCTACTGTCGTTGGGGAAGATAAGCATCAAGCCGAAGAGCGATTGCAAGGAAGTCTGGTGGTGTATAAAACGGGCAGTGGACAATGTGAAGACAAATATTAGTTGTTGTCAGACCACAGAGATTGGTGAGGTTCTCAAACTGGTTTGTTGGATGTTGGCCAACAATTTGCAGATCACCCTGATGGTGTTGCAAGCCCAAACTGTGTTGGGTTGTTTGCCGGTCAGTCATTTACAGATCACCCATGTGGTCTACGCGTAGCAGAGCACAAAATTGTGGTTTATCTAAACAATGTTGGTGAGCCATTTGCAGATCCCCCATGTGGTCTACGCCGTATGGGTTCAAGTTACCGTTCAACTGCAATCCAGGCCGATCATGTTCCAATCCCTCAACATTTAGGGTTGCATCTTGAGTAGGGACTGTACCTGGAGCCAGGAGTGTACTCTGGGTAAGGACCACACAGGTTGCAGATCCCCGGACAAGTGACGATGTCGTGGATGTCGTCGATGATACACAACAAGAGGAGTAGTGATGTTGCAAACAGAAGTTGAACTTGTACCTAGCAACGAAGGTGGAACAATGGGAACAATGGAAACTGGAGACTTTGTTCGCAAGCGAGACCATGGAGGAGATGGGGTTGGTGAGGAGAGACGCAGCCGTCTACGACCAAGCACAAACAAAGATGAGAGGGGGGTGCATTGGGCAAGATTTCGGAGCAAAGGACTTGAGCGTGAGAGAGATTGTGATGTTCTTTGCATTGGAGCTGTAGGACAGGAAGCTGTATCAGTAAAAACTAAAGTTGGGGGAATTACAGTTAGGAAAACTGCTGTACTGAAATCTGCAGCAGTGGAAACCGCGACAGTAGAAACTGCAGCAGTGGAAACTAGAGCAATGGAAACTACAGCAGTGGACACTACAGCAGTGAAAACCGCAACAGTGGACACTGCATCAATGGAAAATGGAGCAGTGGAAACCACAACAGCGGACACTGCAAGAGTGGAGACTGCAGCAGTGGAAACTGTAGGAGTAGAGACTACAGCAGTGGAAACTGCAGGAGTGGAGACTGCAACAGTGGAAAGTTGGAAACTGCGGTAGCAGCAGATGAGCAAGCAGGGGCATAATGGGAGCATCGCGGGGGCGAAGAAGAAATTGGATGATACAAGGACCATCGCAGCATGCGTCGGAACCATTGAGAGAGACGCGTCACATGCGTAGGATAGCGACTTTGGCAGGAGCGCATGTGGCAGGCCCACCCCTTAGCAAGGGTTGGTGGGGAATGCCCATGCGAAAGCATACGACGGGTAAGTGTTGTTGCTGCAGTCCGAAAGTCCTGTCAAGTGTTACAGATTTGTTCAAATCTGGTCAATTGCCCAGTGAATACACCAACCGGTTGATGGGAAGGGATGTTGGAGGTCGCATTTGGATAACGAATGACAGGGAAGTCCCAAGCTGTTGCTTTATCAAAGACACTCGTGGGAAGCGTGTCATCGGAACGGACCCGTAAATGCATACCTAAAAAGGTACAAGAGCCATCTATAGCTGTAGTCTCCTTCCACTCAAGCCCATAGTGCTCTGGTGGAGGAGGTAATTGTCCCCATGAAAGAACATCACCAATGAGGCAATAGGTGAACGCATATTGTTGAGCAGCTTGAAGATCATGTTGACGAATGTCATCAACAAAGCGTGCTTCATCCCAGTACAACGCCAGATTATAAATTTCTGGGCCAGCATTCGTTCCCATTGGAATACCGATAATTTGTTTCCGAAGAGTGCCATCTCTCGTGTATAGAAAAGTGTTTTGTATATATATATATATCGTAAAACTCACAGTATAATAGTATATACATATAGGGTTCAGCCTCCTGATGAGTCGTTGAAACTCCGATGAAACAGTTTGTCACAGCCCCTCGTTTGCTGTCCTCTTCTCCCTCTCTGCCTACGGTTTACAAGGCAGCTCTGTTTGACTATATATATATATTATATTATATATACACACTTGCACGTATATATAGTCGTTGATGCTTAACCACAGTCGGGGTTAAGGTGGATTATCACTTACAGTGTAATCAGTTAGGGGATTCTGCAGACTGTTGAGGGTTCAGCCTCTTGCTGAGTCGGTGAAACTCTGACGAAATAGTTCGTCACAGCCCGTCGTTTGTTGTCCTCTTCTCCCTCTCTGCCTACGATTATATATATCGTGAAACAGAGCTGCCTGGTAAGCCGTAGGCAGAGAGGGAGAAGAGGACAACAAACGAGGGGCTGTGACAAACTGTTTCATTGGAGTTTCACCGACTCATCAGGAGGCTGAACCCTCAACAGTCTGCAGAATCCCCTAACTGATTACACTGTAAGTGATAATCCACCTTAACCCCGGTTGTGGTTAAGCATCAACCACTGCCCGGCAACTGATACCCTAAGGTGGGCACCAACCACTGGCCTCAAGGTACCTGTGATGAAAATCAAAGCAGACTATTACTCACCCACACCAGATGGAAACTCTACAGACTGTCAATTCACACCCCATCACAAGGCAGCAAAACACCCACGAAACAAAGAAAGGTCTGTCACTGCCAGTATATATATAGGGTTCAGCCTCCTGATGAGTCGGTGAAACTCCAACGAAACAGTTTGTCACAGCCCCTCATTTGTTGTCCTCTTCTCCCTCTCTGCCTACGGTTTACTGGGCATATATCGTCAAACAGAGCTGCCCGGTAAAAACATATATATACATAGAGTCAAACAGAGCTGCCCGGTAAACCGTAGGCAGAGAGGGAGAAGAGGACAACAAACGAGGGGCTGTGACAAAATGTTTTGTCGGAGTTTCACTGACTCATCAGGAGGCTGAACCCTCAACAGTCTGCAGAATCCCCTAACTGATTACACTGTAAGTGATAATCCACGTTAACCCCAGCTGCGGTTAAGCGTTAACGACTGCCCAACAACTGATACCCTGAGGTGGGCACTATATATATATATATATATATATATATGTGCAAGTGTGCTGCTCCGGCGGCAGACAGGTGTGTGGGCACTTGGCGCTTAGCCAGAGAAACGTGGCGTACCTTGCATCTGGTACTATATTGCCTATGTATACTTTTTTAACGGATGGTTTGTGATGATTTCTTGATGGAATGAGAGAGAGGGTTTGAATTTCTTTGACCCTTCCCCCCCCCTCCTCTACCACACGCACACACAGCTTGACTCGGAAATTTCATGAATCAAACCAGTGATCTCTAGGATGCAAGCAGTTCTCTTTTATTTCAACACACGCACCCTGCCTGAGTGGACGAGGCAGAAGGGGGATGCTGTGACATCTACGGATGTGCACAGTTCTCATTATTTGCACGTTGTGTCCTCCACAAGGGTAAAGCCTTCACACATTGTGCATCTACATCTACATGAAGTGTGTTCTCTTTTCTTTTTCTTTTTTCCCTTTTGCATTTTCCTTGCTGTCACGTGACGTCTGTCTGGCATGAACAACCATGTCATGAAGAAGACACTGGTGATTGCATGCAATACAATATTAAGAGCTTAGAGGCTTACTAACCAGTAAAAGCAACAGGGGCGGTCTTTGACGACCAGCCGAAACAGAAACCCTGGCACGATGCAACGTGAGAATGCACAATGTCATGAATGATGGGGCGGCCAAGACACAAGTGTCAGTTGGCTGGTCTCAGCCTCCAGGTTGAACTCTTTGATAAGAGGAGCTACCATGCCGCCGTCAGTCAATCCGGGAACCCTGCAGAGAGTGGCGATCAATGTGACCAGTGCAAACAATCTTTGTCGATATGCCATCCTGGTTGGCTTTCTGGTGCAAAAGGGATGGAGTTGATGTTCCCCAAAAGTAGAAACGAACACCTGATTACATTTTTCGGTAATGCTTTTTGAAGTTTTTTTCTAACAAAAACACAGGAGGAACCATTCGCACCGCCAGACGGGCGCTTACGAACCAAGTCTGGACACTTCATACCAGGTCAGCTCTGCTAATGTTTACTACTACTTGGCATGGCTAGAGAATAGGCGCTTACGAACCAAGTCTGGACACTTCATACCAGGTCAGCTCTGCTAATGTTTACTACTACTTGGCATGGCTAGAGAATAGACTAAGTAGAGATCGCACCATCGGAAGATAGCTTGCCATCTCAGGTTTTCTGACAGGTGTCGACACTTTGTACCAGGTCCCCCTCTTGACTGTGAGTCTCGGGGGCATGAATGACGGACATGATGAGAATTACGTCTAATTCATTGGAAATTTGAATCCTATACCGCCCTGCCAAACATTTTTGCAGATTGCCAAAGCAGCCTGAGGTTCACTCTTTCCGTCCAGCACCACTGTGAGCGCTTTCTGTACAATGTTTAATGCAGCCAGAAGTTGCGATAAGGTGAGGCTGGAACGTACGATGATCAAGGCCAAATTTTCACACATGATTGCGTTACGGTATCTCACTGGCACTTTGTGTCTCCTCTTCAACCAAGCAAAGGCATGAAGACTTCAATCCCCAAGAAAGAAATGAGGCATAAACAGAAGATAAGTCACGTGATAGCAATGGGTTCTTCTGGCCTGTCGGTCTGACACGTGAACAGGGCCTTCTAACTTTCTTTTTTTTTTTTTTTTCTTTTTTTTTTTTTTTTCGGCCATCCAACTTCTGTTCAGTCTCAGAAACACATATCTGCCCTCACTGACATTTGTGGAATAGACGTAGTGGTTCAATCTTTGAAAACAAAACAGAACAAAACAAAAAAGAAAGATGGATGCCCTGAGCAAAAACGAGGTACCGGAGGATGGCGGCATGGCTTCAGTAACTGACGCTCCAGTGAAGGGGACAACAAGAACAAACTACGATGTCCAGCCCATGGCCAGCAATCTTGACGTCAATGGCAAGGAAAGCAAGTTGGAAAACTGGGAATTGCGGGAACCGCCGGAGCTGCCACGATATCTGCCCAAGGTATGGGAACGCCACATTCAATTTGTTGGTAGTCGATTGCCAAGATTGTCCGATTCGAGTCAGATTGGGGAAGAGCTGAAGAAGGTGTTTGCCCTTGCAGCACCCACATCACTGGCAAACATCCTATGGTACAGCAGGGTGATCGTATCGACGGTATATCTTGGTCATCTAGGAAAGATTGATCTTGCTGGGGGTGCCCTTGCTATGGGATTCGGCAATGTCACAGGCTATTCGATAGTAATTGGCCTGTCGACTGGGTTGGATCCGATCTGCGCTCAGGCGTATGGTGCTCGTAACTACAAGCTGCTTCAGCTGACATTGCAGCGTGCTATTATCATATTCCAATGTGTCGTCGCACTCGTCGTTATCACAATCTGGCTCAGCATGGAAAGGATTCTTATCCTCGTCGGACAAGACCCGGGAATCGCTGCAGTGGCGGGCAACTACGTGCTTGTGTTGATTGCCGATCTTGTAGTCTATGGGTTCATGCTACCCATGAGAACATACCTTCGGTCGCATTGCATCACAATACCACTTTCGTTCTGCGCAGGCATAGCACTTCTCATCCACATCCCATTGAATTACCTGTTCATCGTCAAGGCGGGTCACGGTTACAGAGGTGCTGCGTTAGCCTCAGTTTGCACGGACTTCAGCTTTCCTTGCATGCTTGTGATTACAATCTGGTTAATCACTCCCAAAGAAGGCGCTGGGAAATGGCACGGGTGGTCGTGGGAGTGCATGACAGAGTGGGGACCCATTCTGAGGCCTGCTTTGCCTTCCTGCATAAGCCTATGTGCGGAAGTGTGGACCTACGAAGTATTCTCGCTTCTGGCCGGTCTGCTTCCGGACCCCGGTACAACTGTTGCCACCATGTCAATCTTATTGAACTGTTCGTACATGTTCAACATGACACCTATGGGCGTCAGTGTATCGGCATCAACACGAGTAGGCATTGAGCTTGGAGCAAACTCGCCGTCAGCGGCTCACCTTGCAGCCTATGTGGCTTGGTCTATAGGCTTCATTTTCAGTGTGATTTCCATACTGTTTTTCTCACTGCTTGGACGCCAAGTGGGTTGGTTGTTTACTGATATTGCCTCTGTACAGCTTCTTATTGGAAAGGTCCCCCCATTGCTTGGGGTAGTGCAAGCCTTTTCCGCCCCACTAAATGTGGGTGCTGGAATTTTACGCGGATGTGCGCGGCCCGGCATTCTGCTCCGAGTGACATTTATGGCCTTCTACTTAATCGCATTGCCGATCGCAGTCTGCCTAGTTTTCCTATTGCGCATTGGTGTTCCCGGCCTCTGGTGGGGTCTCATTGTAGGTGAGGCATGCGCTTTCACTGCCATTGCAACATGCATCATCTTACGCGACTGGGAGACTGAGGCAAAGAGAGCACAGATGCTTGTGAAACATTCTCGAGGCCACAATGTAATGCCTTATGATGATGAGAGACCTGTGGATGCAGTGGAGACTGGCCAAATATGCTCCATTAACAAATACCACCCTAGACGGACTGCAATTGATCACGACAATAACTCTAATCACTCATTGACTGTTCCGCTTCTGAATGACTCAGATGAAGACTTAATTTGCCACAGTGCTGAGCGAGTCCAGAGATCCACTTAATATAAAGCGCATCATTCACTTTCTTTTGTTTTTCCCAAGTAATTCAGAACTATTTTATTTCATTCATCTGCTTCCATCGGAATTCGAACTCGGCTCTGCATTTCAACAGTTTATTGATGCATTTTCCTTTAAGTTTTTGTTGAACATCCCCCTCACTGAGGTGCATGCTTGTGAATGCCTCTTGCAGCTGCAACAGTCTGAGCCGACACCCCATAGCCCTGCTCAATCACAGTTGGAAATCTTGTCAATGCACTCGCTGGCACTCAAATGCCAGCACATCTTCGCTGATAAAGAAACACGAGAACCTTGCAAGTTTGATGATACGTCAGCCTTAAAAAGAGGAGGTGCAACAAGGAGGAGTCATCTCCATGTATTCACCTGCAGCCTGTCACTGTTGACTCAGAGAGAGAGAGAGAGAGAGAGAGAGAGAGAGAGAGAGAGAGAGAGAGAGAGAGAGAGAGAGAGAGAGAGAGAGAGAGAGA